GCAACGAAAATAATTTTATGGTTGGGGGTCACCACAACATGAGGAACTGTATTAAGGGGTCGCGGCATTAGGAAGGTTGAGAACCGCTGCTCTAATGAGATGACGGGTCGAAGCCGAACAATGCAGGTCGGGACCCTGAGGAGAGGAACTGCCTCAGGGAAGCACATGCACAATTGGGGGAATGGGGGGGGGTCCCTCCAAAGGTCACCCGCTCCCAGCAGCCCCGAACGATTGGGACACATTAAGTCACGTGGTGAGTCCACGGGATGCCCTGGGCAAAGTCCGGGTGGAGGCCCCACCCCAGAGGGCCTGGCTCCTCAACAAAGAGCCGAAAGACAGGTGAGGACAAGCGGCAGAGCAAGAGCCGGAAGGGGCACACACCAGTCACGCACATGCGCCTTGCTGCACACCTGGGGAAATCTGAGCTCAAGCTGGACATCTGAGGATATTAAAGATAAAGCTTCGTTCTTTTAGTTGTGACAGCGGGCACGTGGCTTTCATTTTTAAAACATAATGAGCTGCCTACTGAAATGTTTACAGATGAAATGATAGGATGCTGGCAGGCCTGTGCTTCAAAAGCCCAGGGAGCAGGGCCGTAGGCGGGGCACAAAAACCGCAGCCGCCACGAGCCCCGTCTCGCAGACACGGGTGTGTGAGAGGCGCGCGACACGGCTCGCTGTGTCTATCTCTATCCGAAATCGTCCATAACCTAAAAGAATACCCGTAAGCACCACTCCAAGGCTGTCCACGCTGAGCTCTACACTCTCAGGCCATCAGCCACCGGTAGTGAATGAGGCGTTCCCTGGACCCGAGGACAGACCGCGAGGGCTGTTCCAAGGATGCCGGCCACGCTGCTGCTCTGTGGCCAGTGGCCTCCTTCCAACATGGATCCCGTCAGCCCCAGGCGGTGTCCCTGGGGGTCCCCGCTGTTCTGCACACTCACTCCCCACCCACCCCCGCCTGGTACCCCCTTCCCCGGGAGGCGTCCTGCTCCCCATACCAGCCCCCTTCCCCTTTCACGGACAGCACGCGGCTCTGCTGGCTCAGCGAGCCTTGCGCCACCACCAGTATTTGGCCACTTGACACACAAAAGGTAATTTCACAAGGCTCCATCTGCTGAAGCAATGGCATCCTGGAGATGCCTCAGAGCAGAATCTGTCCAGCTCTGCTGCTCAGGCCACCAGAGCAGCCTCCATACGTGGGCCACATTCAGCGCTGGCTGGGGGTGGCGGGAATGGGAGAACGGCCTGTCCCTCCATGCACACAGAGCCTCCCTGTAGAGCTCAGCACAGCCAGGTCACAGGCACCGGGTCGCCAGGACCTAATTGGGCAGGCCCACCACCACCTGCAGCCCTGGGCAGACCCAGCCTGGCCCCGTCTCCCCCAGCCAGCTTGGCGACAACCCCAGACTCGTGGGGAGACTGAGTCATTTCACAGGGCTGTCCTCAGAACCACTGGTGCTCAGGTTGTGGGGGAGAGACACACACCTGCACACACACAGAGCTAACTGCTCTGTACACATGTGCACACACGTGCCCGCCGAGGGGAGCGCTGACCAAAAAAAGGGGTTTAGAGGGAAGACGGGGCTGCAGCACCTGGGCAGCGGGACAATGTGCAGAAATGCAGTGACAACCATGTCGCCCACTTCCCGGAAGAAGGAGGCAGGGCCACCCAAGGCCTCACACCACAGTTCCAACACCCACCTTCATCTGCAGCTGAGGGGCCCCGCGTGGCTGCAGAGCTGGGGTGCCCGTGGCTAGAGCTGAGACAACACTTAGTGAGTGAACAACGAGGGACTCACAGGACAGGAGGGAGACAACTCAGGTGGGGACACAGAGAGGCAAGCAAGGTCACCGGGCTCCTTGGTCCCGGGCATCGGAAGGAGACCCTGGCCAGGCATGACGCCTAAAGGGAGGTGACCCGCCCGGGGCCCTTCCTCCTGGACCTGGGCAGCTCTCTGGCCCATGTGGCTTTAGATGTGACTGGCTCTGGGCACACAGGGGGCAAAGCTGCTTCTTCCTGTGTGTTTCCACAGTGCCACTCACACCCTAGAGTCAGCTGTGAAAGTGTCACACAGCAGGGCCTCACGCGTGGGCTTCAGGGTCAGTCCGCCTGGTTTTGGACGTTACCCAATAGTAGGGTCACCTTACTTACTTAGCCGTCCGTGCCTGGGTTTCCTCACCTGTAAAGCAGTGCAGGCGAGGACAAGGGGCAGTGAGAGGGTCAAAGGCAACACACGAAATGAGATACTATCTGTACGGAACCAGCAGGCCCTTCTGGAAGGCTCTCCACTGTCATCGCCACCCCAGCCCCCAGCAGCAGGAATGTACGGTTAAGCAGCGCAGACAGCCCGGCCCAGATGCCAGTGCCTGCGGCCAACAGACAAACAACAAAATCCCACGCTGTCCCTCCTAACTCGACGTGTAAACTAAACAGAATATAACATCTCAGCTCCTTCAAAGAGCTCTGATGAGTTCTGAGTTAACTGCTGGAAACACAGCGCACCAGCTTTACTACAACAATCACATTCCCCAGGGAGGATTTCATTCCCTCCCTGTGACCCTCTCCTTTGCCCCAGAGAGAACGACATTGTCACCGTGCAGACCAGAGCACTGGGCTTAGCAGAGCGGCACAGGCACAGGCAGACTCAGCAGGCAAAAGGCCGTGTGGGGATGCCCACACGGGGCTGCAAATGTCCCCACCTTCAGTCCAGTGACAGCTGCCCTGCCCCCCCCACACACACACACACTGGTACTCACGTAAGAAGTGTTTTTCCAATAAGGCGATTTCCAGGTGACCTTTGATCTCATTTAATCGATCAAACTCTGTCCGGTTGAAGTCCTGGACTCCTGCAGCCATGATGAGGGTCCCTGGACCAGCCTAGAAGAAAAACATGTGTTCAGAGCAGCTGCCTTGAAGCATCCTGTGTCCGTGTCTCTGCCACCAATTCCTAAGGGGCCATGAGGATCCCACGTCTGTACAGGCTGTACCCAGAGCCCCCCGCCTGTCAGAACCCCAAGACAAGGCAGGCGCGGGTTCTGCCTGAAAACCTGCTCAGTTCACCTACGCTTCACTGGCTGGCGGCAAGAACACCGCAGACAGTGTGGATGTCCTCGGAGCCCGGGAGGGGGCTTTCAGAAATAATAACAAAGATTAAAACCAGAAGCGTGACACTAAGCCTTTAGATGGTCACAACACTGCCCTCAAGCTGCAGGGGGCAGGACACCACTGAAACCTGCGCAGCCAGTGAGGTAACCTCCCAGGAGGAGGGTGAGTCCAGCCCCAGGACCCCAGGGAGGTGGGGAAGGCCGTGTCCACTGCCAGGCTGTGTAAATCTGAGCAGCCAACAGCTCCCTGAGGCCTTGTCCTGTGCCACCGAGGGCTAATTGAAACCAGCACCGGCGCCCAACAGGCCGAGGGGAGGCTCCGGTGACAGGTGACCCCTGTCCACTTCCTGGCGCCCAGGGGCCTGGCCCAGGCAGCCGCTTGGTGTCCTGCTGACTGGAAGGAAAGCAGACAGCCAGGCCTGCCCAGACACACAGAGTGCCACTTGGTTCACACACCGGACACTTCCAGTCACCCCCACAACTACAGCCTGTGGCTGGCCTGGCAAGGAGTAGCACCATGTGCCCCGCCCTGCAAGGGGGACCTGACTCCCCAGTCTAGGTCTCCACAACCCCCCTCCAGGTTGGGTGAGGGTGGAAGGGGACATGCAGCCTGGACAAGGTCCACCCCTGGAGGGGCAGCCCTGGTGAGGCCGCAGCCCAGGAAGGAGAGCTGCCACCAGGGAGCCTGCAGGTTCTGGTCAGAACCCCCGCCAGCGGCTGCCCTGTCCTGGCACTTGAGCCCTCAGCCTTCCAGCTGCCCGGTCGACTGGGGTCTGAGTCCCCAGGGCAAGACCAGGCCAGGTTTAGCTGCTGCCACTTGGGCCTGGCGGGGAGCCAACAGGGAGACTGGGGCAGTGGAGCAGAATGTTGGGTGACGCCATCTGCCCCGCCACGGGGACAATGGGACATGTTTGCCCATCCCCCACCTTGGTGGCCAAGGGGTGGCCACACAGCAGCGGGCAGAGGCTGGCCCGGAAGGTGGCTCTGCACTGATTTGGATGCAGATCACTCAGCTCCACTATGTCTAGCCACCTCCCCACCAAATGCAAGGACATCCTGCGGTTTACTCGGCCAAGCCCAAATGCACCAACCCATGTCCTCAGTCTCTAAGTCATTGGAATTAAGTTCACCTGGAACTTGCTCAGAGCTTCAAGAACCCCTGAGGGGACCCCGGGTCCAAGAGGGTCTTGGTACCTCAGCTGGGAGCCCACTGGACAGCAGGGACAGTGAGGACTGCTCAGGGGAGCTGACCAGCTGGCAGGGGGGCACTGACAGGGACAGCAAGGCCCGGAGGTGGTGGTGCACCAAAATCCTGGGGTGCAAACCCCTCTGTGAGCCTGCTGGTCCCCCGAGGTGACCCCTTCCCAGACTTCTCAAGAGCAATGCTGAGCTGGGGGTTGGGGGCCTGGGCGAGTGAGCCCCCCCGAAGCCGCCAGAAAACCAAGGAGGTGGCCCGGCCACTGGTTCTACCAACTTCCCCAGAACCGTGTCCCTCAACTCCGCCTCTGAGCGTCTCCTGCAGCCTCGCAGGCGAGGACACCCACTTCCACCTCCTGCTCCTGGAGGCGTCTGCGCCTCGGCCTCCTCGTCTTTGGGTCCCTCTAGATGGTTCCCGCAATTCCAGGGCTCCGCTCCTCTTCTCCCGGCCTGTTACTAACTACCCGGTCGACCCTGGCCTCAGTCTCCCCGTCTTTATCTTCAATGGCCCTCCCCACCGCCGGCCATACCCTGAACCTGGACGTCACCCCAAGCTGCTCCACCCTCTCCCTGCACACCCCACCTCTTGGGCCCCCTCAAGCCCGTCTGCCAGCGCGGAACCCCATTCCTTGCCTCCTGCCCCAGCACCCTTCCCTCCCGTCCGAAAGGGTCTGGATTCTACTCTCAACCACTGGGTCCACTCAACTCCTTTGCCCAGGACACTGAAAGACAGCCCACAAGAAAGGAAATACAAATACAGCCTGACACGCTCCAGCGTGGGTGACCCTTGAGGACACTGTGTTGGGTGAAAACAGGCCAGTCACGAAAGGACAGTCCTGTAAGATTCACTCCTATGAGGAACCAGGGGGAGTCGGGTTCACTGGCAGACAGTTGGGCAGGGGGTGCCAGGGGCTGGGGGAGTGGGGAGCTAGTGTCCAGTGGGAACAGAGCTTCAGTGTGGGATGAGGAGAAAGCTCTGGAGATGACGGTGGGGACGGTTACAACCACGTGAATGCACTTAATACCCTGAACTGTGCCCTTAAAAACGGCTAAAATGGGAAATATTATATATTTTTTATCACAATAACAAGAATGAAGGCTAAACACATGCACAGATGACCAACTTCCCTCAGAACAAAAGCATTGCAAACTGGAACCACTCAGAGCTCCGCACTCCCCGGCCAGTGAGCAAAGCAGACAAGCTTGAGGACACCTGTGCCGGTGGCCAGGGCGTGGGACACGGGCCCCCTTGGCAGCTGTGGAGGACACACCCTAGGAGGGCGACCTAGTAACAGCCACCAGGGCGACACACAGCCTCGACCCAGCAGCCCACCTGGGGGTGACACAGGCCATGTGGGCACATGGCTCACGGGACTGACGACGCCGAGAGCATGGAGGCACCAAGTGGCCCTCAGTGGGGACAGACTAAACGGGTCGAGGGCACGTCCCATGGTGGGATCCTGTGCCCACCCACCCCCACCCACGAGAAAGAGCCCCAAGAAATACCAGGAGGAAAATGAGGGGTTCTGGCTCACACAGGCCCTGTGCTCCCACCCCAGGCCCGGCCCTCACAGGAGGCACCATGCCCCAGGGCAGTGCCCACGACCTCCGCAGCGCCCGGACAGAGGGGCTGCCAGCTTGCGTCACCAGCCACGGCCTCGTGGCCAAGTGAGGATCCGACCCCGGGCCTGCAGACCCTCTGTGCTGCCACCCTGCCACCTGCACTCAGACACGCACACAGGACAGCTGCACTCCAGGTCGAGTCTGGGTCCACATCAAGACAACGCCTAGAGCAAGGCAGCTGCTACGAACCCTGGCTGGGAAAACAGAGCATGGAGCCAGGAGAACAGTCCGCTGCGGCCTCAGTGCAGGATGGGATCCCTGTCTGTCCCTCTTTCTCTCTCTATGACACACACGCGCGCGCTGAGGTCAGACCCACATATGAGGATTCCTGTTCCCGAGAGGCCCACCCTCATCCCAAAGACCATGACACGAGAATCACGGCCCCCAGCCCCCTAGGCTGGCACCGGCTACACAGGGAAGACACCACTTTCCTTGCAAGACAAGCCGTGTTGCTCTGTGACATAACCTGCACTAGGACACACAACAAGCAGGGCCCCGGCCTGGAGGAGCGGCCACCGCCCCTGCCGGGGGTCACAGGCAAACAGCCGGGCAGGGCGCTGCCCCCACCTGAGCGGCAGCCCGGGAGAGCAGCCTGGCTCTCAGGAGGCAGTGCCCGTAAATTATTCATCCGTGCCAGGAGCTAATGCGCAGTCCTCTTCTTTGATAAAGCATTAATAATACAAGGAGCCCGAGAAGGAGGACGTACACAGGCCCGTCTGCAAAGAAAACCTGGCTCGGGCGCGGAGAGAAAACCAATGGGCCACCAAATTTGGTGTCCACGCCGGGAGATCACCCACAAGTGGAGACAAATGGCTCTGGGCTGCTTTGCTGGCAGTGGGGAGGACACGGGCAGCTGTGCCCACAAGGCTAAGAGGAGGCCACTGAGAACCTGGCCCACCCCATCCCACCGACGAAACACCAGCTTCCAGAAGGCAGGACCCACTGGTGCCTGCTTCCCTCCGAGCTGCAGTGCCTAGCTGAGGTGCCTACTGGATATCTAATGCCCCAGGGAAGAGCGCCCCACCCACTGACCCACAGGGGCCCCTGTCTCTGCATGGGCTGCCGGGGGTCAGGGACACGCACCCTGGCATAGCCAGGCAGGCCTGTGGGCAGCCAATTCCAGACAGCGCCCTGTCCACCCTCCCCCCATCACCACCCCAGGTCAGCGTTCCCAGGCGTCAGGCTGGGGCCTCAGCATCATGTCTATATGAGAAGTTTACCAACGGCTCAGAAAACCCATGAGGAAGGAAAGGACATCTAGGTGCTGGACAGACTCTCAGTAAAACAAAACAAAAAAAAACAAACGCTGTTTCATCCTGGATCTGGGGACCAGCCCCACCAGACATGAGGGGCAGGGCACGTGACAGAGAGAGCGAGCCCCGCTTGTCTCTGACTAGCGGGCAGGACATGTTCTGCCCAAGTCCACACTCGGCATGGCCACCTGAGGATGGGGGACCCCACACCAAGGGCCCGGGGTCCGAGGCCAAGGAGAGGGGGGGACACCCCGGGCCCCAGGCAGCCGACGCGGCGTACTCACAGGGTCCCTCAGCTCCTCGCTGTCCCGGAGCGAGGTCCGCGGCACCTTCAGGGGCACTTCGTCTCCACACTCGGTGTCCGAGGCATTGGGAGACTCCGCTAGGTCGAGGAAGTCGTCTCTCTTGTGGCCTCTGAACCTGATTTTATCCAGCTTCCTCAGCATGTTCAGCGCTGAGCCCCGCTGCTTTACCTTAACATGACGGTCGGGGTCCCTGCAAGAGAACGCCGGGGAGGCCTGGTCAGGGGGCCACTCGCCCACTGGCCCCTCACCCAGCACGGTGCACCCACCGGCTTAGAAGATACAGCCCTCCCGCACCCGGCTCAGGTCCCGAGCCCTGGGCTGTGACCAGCCCTGTCCTCAGGGAGTGGCCCCCCTTACCCCACGCGGCTGGGCCAGTGGCCTCACTCCTGCCACTGTCACCAACCAACCCACTGTGTGCCCCACAGGGCAGGAGGAAGCAAGTCTCTCAGCGGGACCTTCCTGGCCATAAGATGGGGCCAGCCAGAGCAGCGGGGTGGCTGGAGACCCAGGGGAAGGGTCAGGGAGGAACTGCAATGAACAGGGAAAGGGGCTGGCCACTCTCACGAGTTCTCTTAACGAACCGTCAAGAATGTAGCCAAAGCCGTGGTGACACCTGTGGCTACAGGCACTGCCTGGGACAGTCACAAGTGCCCAGAAACCGTCAGGACATGAGGCCTTGGGGTGTCTCAGGAGGCCCCTCTACACCCAGTGAGGTCCTGGCCTCATGCTCCCGTCCCAGGGACACGGACGGCCAGGTCTCCCTTGCCCCGAGAAGTCTTCACACACACAGGCTGGCCTGGTGGGGGTCACGTTGTCAGAGTTGCAGTGTGCCCACATGGAGGGCACACATAGGTTTAAATACGAGTACACACCCAGGGATGGCCGTGCCATGGGGAGCCCGTTCCCGCCCCACTGCCTTAACCCGGCCAGGAAAGCCCAGGTGACGGCCCCTAACCCCAGGTGGCAGGGCGTGAGTGGCCCTTCTGCACGTCTGAAGCCCGCAGCAGGGCCACGCAGCCCCGACCCTAGTCCTCGTCACACAGCTGCTTGGCAGGGGCTGCAGGTCAGGGACCTCCCACGCACCCCAGCCCCCCGATGCCTGCAGGAGGCCCTGGGCCCATACAGAAGCGCAGCGCTCTGAGCACAGCTGGGCTCGCGGCCTGTTCGGCTGCCGACCACCTTTCTGAGCCTCAGCCCGCACCTCCGAAATGGGAATAGCACCAGGAAGACTGAAGCACCCTGAGAATTCCAGCTGACACACATCGAGGCCTGACACTAGGCCCGGACCCAATAAACGATACGATTACTTCCACACGCAGCAGGCAGGAAGTGGTGCGAGCAGGATGGAATCCATCAAGCCAGCCCGAGCCGCCCCAGTTGGGGTATTTCGTGGAGAACCACAAAGGCGGGGAGAAGAGCTTCCTGTTTTGGACTGGGCAGCCATGGAGTCTCCCAAAGGACCATTAATCACAGCCCAGGGGTGCTGTCTGCAGCCCGGATGTGCTGCCCCGCCCTCTAAGGGCACCCACTCCCCTTGGATCACTGCTCATGGCAAGAAAACTTGCTAACAGTGGGGCTCACAAGACCTGGATCAGAATGCCAGCGTGCTGAGGTCAACTGCGAGGTGCAGCATTCAGGGAGGGGGCTACAGGAGCTCCTGGGACAGGCGCTTCTCAGAGCACTTGGGACACTAAGGTGGCCCGGTGTGGCCCTGGTACAAAACCATAGGAAACCCAATGCGCCTCCTGGAACTCAAGAGACCCAGGAGTGTGCAGCGCCGTAGGGCGGGGGCGGCTGCCTGGGTCCCTGCTTGCACAGGGGGTGGGGGTGGGGGTCACATGGCCGGCCATCTGGAAAAATATCTGCGTACAGGCACTGTGAACTCCAGATGGACTAAAGGTTACATAAACTGGAAAAAAAAAAACACTAAAAGAAAAGAGAACTTAGTACTTATCAAGTCCCTAGAGAGAGGGTAACGGTCTATTTGAGACTGAAAAAAATAATCACGAAGTAAAAAAACTCTAACAGCCAACTGGACAAAAGTAAACTTCCATTTGTTCCAAAAAAAAAAAAATGCAACAGAATGGGATACGTGCAGAAAACCTGGTATGTGAAGGATTACCATCTTCGTTATGAGACAGCTTGAAGAAATTAGTAAAAATTACGGGACCTCGGTACACAGGTGGATGAACTCCCTGAGCAGAAGAATTCACGGCAAGAGGAAACTTACCCCCTACAAGGACTCGTGCAAAAACTTCCAACTGAAAGGAAACAAGCGCTGGCCAACGTGGCCGGAGGCGGCAGGAACCGTGAACTCAGCCGCCCCCGAACCAGAGCTCCGCTTGTTGAGACACATCCCACAAGCAAACCCAACAGGTAGAAAAGGTCTCACTCTCACAGCGAGATGTGACACAGTGGCACTGCGCATTGCCGCCCCCCACGGCCCCCACGTGGGCAGAACAGGGAGCCTTGGAACACACATCATGCTGGGCTCACGCAGGACGCCGTCTCTGTGAGTGACGAAAGGCAATTATAAAGTGTGGCTTCCCCGAGGTCACCATTACAGCAAACGGGAATCTAAAGACCGAAGGTAACACAGGACCCTGTGTTAGGGCTGCAGGCTTGTGGGTGGTTTGTAAAACTTCTCTCTAAATGTCCTATAATGCTTTCCTATGGTTTTTAAAGTTAAAAAAATATTTAAAAAATTAAATGAGCTGGATAGGGGAAATGCAGCCATGTAAAACCTACTTCGTTTCATTTTCAGAAAGACAGAGAGATTCCTGTGGCCTGGCACCAGACAGGCGGCGCTGAGGTTCCTAACCTTGGAGCAGCAGCACCTGGCTGACACTCACCCCGGGGAAGGCAGGCGAGTGCCGCTGTCACCCAGCCAAGCTTTGCTCCCTGCAGGCCTCTACCTAGGGGGTTCTCACACTCCCGGAGGCTGGGGCCACCTCCCTTCCCAAGTCAGAACTTGCTCCTGCAAACAAATGAGGCGGCCATATGGACAAGGGGACAAAGCCCCGAGTGTCTGGCCCTGCCACCACTAGAACGCAGCACGCGCCCCAGCCTCAGCACTCAGCCCTGGGACCGCGCGCACTTGGCTACCCAACGGGCGCGTCCTTCCAGCTACCAGCTCACCCCTACCCCAGGCTCCTCCTGCTGGCTGCTCACATCAGCCCATGTAAAGGGGCCCAAACATGCAGCCCGCCCGAGTGAGGGGCTTCCAGGGGGCTCGCTCCCATCCCCACCGCCCTGCTCCCCAGACTTCTTGGGCTCCTCAAACACATGAACGGTGCATGCTGCTGTCAGATGAGGACCAGACGCCACAGCACCCCCCCATCCCACCAGGATGGCACCAGGCTGCCAGCAAAGCCCTCCACGTGTCACCCCTGCACTGGGCTGAGGCGTGGTCCCACCCCAGGACGACCCCATCCCAATGATATCTGCAAAGTCCATTTCCAAGTAAGGTCACATTCACAGGTTCTGGCGGACATGAATGTGGGGGATACCATTCAGTCCAGTACACCCCCAACTTTCAGATGAAGGCGGAGGATCGACATGGACCACTGTCCGTGGACAGAGAGGAGGGCGGGTCCCAGACAGCAACTGTGACTCAGAGCAGCGTTCCCCACGAGGCCAGCGTCCAGTGGCTCCATCTCAACAAATCTTATCTGCACCCCCATTCTGGGTGCTGCTGCCAGGTGTCCCCCTGCCCCAGCCCCCATCTAGCCCTCCCTTTATCCAACCAGCCACCTACCCTGCACACGCACCCCTCTCTCCCCAGAGCCCATGGGAGGAGGCCCGCCTCCTCAGATGTCCCTGTCCAGAACCGGCCCTACTGTGCACCCACAGGCCCACCCTGGGCAGCTCCCTACAAACCTACCCCTCAAGGTGCAGCAGCCACTCAGAGGGGGATCTGCTGCCCCACGGCCCCCCGCAGTCCGCAGAACTCGGACTGCGCCTCCCTGTACCTCCAGGAGGGAGGAACACTCTCTGGCTGTGGCTACTCCAGACCCCTACTCAGAGCCATGGCACTCTGCAAGGAAGCTGTAACCATCTGCGAGAGAGCAGGCGAGACAGGACGAGCCGGCAAGGAGGCACCTGGTGCTGCGTCCAGGGCAGCAGGACTCCCCAGCTCCAGGCAGCACCCGCCGGGCTCCGGGCCCTCTGCACGCGGGACTGGGTCCAGCAGAGCTGGCCCTGGACACAAAGCATGCTGCTCTGGAAACCCGCGGGATGGCTTCTGGGCACACAAAGGCAGCAGTGTTAGGGAACCTTGGACTTAGAAACCACAAAGGACTTCATTTTCCCTCCCAGCCCAGGGTTTTAATAAAGAACCGTGGTTCCTGGTCCCTGCACTTGCCACGTCCCAGCCGTTCTCCCTCAACGTGCAGCGCACGCTCCTCCAGGCTGCTCTCCCGTCTGCGTTCGGACAAGCGCTCAGCCGGGGCCTGGCTTCATCTGCTGGAGACCTGGTGGCTTTCCTACTGATCCCGGGATAAACAAAGTCTGTTCTCCCACAGGAAGCGGCCCTCCTCCTAAACCACGTTCCTGAGGTGGCACAGATGTTGAGCGAGAACTGAGCGCTTCCCTGCACGCCACCCCAAGCCGGTCCCAGCTGACCACATGGTCCTCCGCCAGCTCTCTCTGTCCTCTGGGAAGACGGCCCCAAACCCCAAGGTCTGAGCAGTGTGGGGTGGCAGCTGCGAATCTCACAGCTTTGCAGGGGGAACCGGAGGGCCCGGGAGGAGACACTGACCAAGGCCTGGCCCTAATCAATACCCCAAAGGCCCACACCCCTGCAAGCCGTGCCCCCAGGACCCCAGCACACACAGCTCCTAGCTGGCCCTGCAGGGCCGTGCCGGGTGCTTACTGGGAGGGGTCTGGATGCCTGAGACCCACAAGGCCCTCGTGACCGCTGGTCCTGTCCCCTGCCCCACACCAGGCTCAGGATGTTGGCTCATACCTGATAATCCACGGGTTTCCCCAAACTCAGGGCCTGTCTGGGAGCCACCTCCCTCACCCCGGGAACAGTCCGCGGGACCCCAAGTGCCCCTGGCGTCAATACGGAGGTTCTGCTTACTCTCAGTCCCACGCCCACCTGCCTCGCCTAGAGCTTGCTGCTTACCCGCTGCCTGCTAGGCGTCTCCTGGTAGCTCGGCTCTGCCACGCTCAGCTCAGAGCTCCAGT